TCCACCTGAAACACACTGGGCATGCGTGCAAGTGCCCAAGAGTCAGAGGGCTGGAGGAAGGGGATCATGCCTGATCTGATCCTTCGAAGTGTGCTCATCTCTTGCTCTCTCACTGTCACATACAAGCACGCCACTATAAATTTAAAAACAAAAATAACCTAGGACATCTGTTGCTCCATTTAAGGATGAGAAAGCTGAGACTTCGGTATATTATGGAATGAGCAAATGGATTTGGTCAAAAATCCATTTAAATCCTACCTCCTCCATCACTCCGTGATCACACCTTGCCAGGCTTCAGTTTTCCTAACCATAAAAAGGAAATAATATCTCACAGGATGGTTTTTTTTTTTTTCTGGAGAGGTTTTCGCTATAGGGCGCATGCGCTCGCTAGACAGACAGAGAGACAGAAAGCGAGAAATCACCCCCAAGGGGGGATGGTCACACCGCAATCCTTTCTCCTCCATTCTCCTCTCGGGATCTTGGGCACGCACACACACAAGCCTGGCATGAGTTTTAAGCCACCGGGTCCGGGATGCGAACAGCGGTTGACTACATGGGAGTCCAGTGACATAGCCATTACGCTAGCTGCTGGTCCCTTTCTTACAGGATGGTTTTGAGAGCTAAATAAGAAATGCAAAAGCGCCAACCACCCATAGGTGCTCAGAGCCTAGGTGGTCCAAAGAGGGACCAAAGTTAGTCTCTTTTCTTGTTTCTTCTACCAAGAGAGGGACATTTTTAACAGCTGAAACCTTCTGTGCATACAGAAGGGACACTGGGGACAGAGGAAAGCCACAGAAGAAGGCAGTAAGTGGCTAACGAAACCACAACTGCCATCTGGTTTTTGCTTTCTCTCTAAGTGTCTCTGGACAAGGACAAGTTAACTCCAGGAACTGCTTTCAGCCAGCTGGGCAGGGCTGCTGGAAGGCAGGCGGGATCACCGGGAGGGCAGAGGCTCCCTCCCCAGCTCTCCAGGACTAGGCTGCAGAAACTGCCCAGCTGCACCAAACACCTTTCAGTCTCCCTCGAGCCATACCAGTCAGCTCCCGGGCCAGAAAACAGCAGTCCAGCATCTGCACACACGTTGAGGGAAGCAATAAAAGGGCTCTTGCAAGGTTAAAAGGATGTGGCTTTTAAACACACACGCACCACAGCGAGTCTCTTTCGCCCCTACATCCCCTCCTTTGCAGGCACCCTCGATAAAAGCAAACAGGCTTCTTGGGAGAACCCACCCCCACTGCCTCAGCCAGGAGAGAAGGGGCCACGGTCCCAAGGAAAGTTACTCTTCCTCTGGGGGGCTGCCCCTTGCCCAGGCTGGGTCTTCACTGCACCGTGTGATGGTTCTCCAGCAGCCAAGATAATGACGAACTTGGCCCACAAAGTTAAGAGCAACTCAGGCGACAGCTAGTGAATAGCTCAGAAGGGGCTGGGCTCAAAGCACTTCCTTTCCTCTAGGGACCTGCATTTTTCTAAGATTATTATTCCTTGGACTGGCTGCTCAGCTACTCAGCGTCATTTCCCCTTTGGGTGGGAAACTCTTTTCCTTCTGCATTGATTTTCATTATGATTTAAGCCTCTTCCCCTTCATCTGCAGATCTCACAATTAAAGCATGGCCAATGAATTGCAAAATCAAGGCACACAAACAGCACTGAGCTTAGAACTGTGGCTCAGAAGCCCTAAGTAGAAGAAAAATACACAGGCGCGCGCGCACGCACACACACGCACACACACACACACACACCCCTCACTCTAGATCTCAGCATCTCTCTAGCACCCCTGACTGAAACACCAGCAATAAACAATGGCTGAATAGCCAACAGGGTGACAGGTGGGCACAAAAACTTAACAATGGCTAGGCAAACAGGGGCTGCTCTCCAGGAACGTACAGTCTAAGACAGGCAAACAACTCACATATGGGATGCAAACATGGTTACTCAGCAGTGAGACCTTGAACCCTGCCCAGAGGAGAAAGGCTAGCAACGAGCCATAGGGAAGAAAAGCACATCTCTGGCTCCTGATGCTGACAACAGTGATATGAAAGCCCAAGTCATAAGGGCCAGGCTCTGACCACTATATTAAGAAGGGGCTGTGGGACCAGCAGTTGGTGTAATGGCTATGTCACTGGACTCCCACGTAGTCAACCGCGGTTCAAGTCCCAGATTTGGTGGCTTAAACTCACACCAGGCGTATGTGCATGCGTGCCCAAGATCCCGAGAGGAGAATGGAGGAGAAGGGATTGTGGCGTGGCTATCCCCCCTGGGGGGTGATTTCTCATTTTCTCTCTGTCTCTCTTTCTGGCAAGCACACATGCCCTATAGCAAAAACCTCTAAGAAAGGCGGTGGGTGGTGGGGGCTGCAAGCAGCCATTTTATGCTGCAAGCATAAAATCAGTTATGTACATTTGAAAGTCAGTCTCTGTACCTGGAGGGGCCAGTCCCATCAGATGAAGCACAATACTTGACTCAGGGCTCATTACCAGCAGGAAGGTGGACCCCACACCCCTGCACTTCCCCCCCCCCAAAAAAAAAACACACAGAAACGTTGATGCAGGGCCTGAATGACCATCTGTCAGGGGCTGCGGAAGAGGGCAGACGTCTCCATGGCAGACACAGTGTGCACTAGAGGACCCCCGGAGGCCTTTTCAGGGTTGAGGCTTGGTTGCCTTGGCCAGTAAGCGACACAAGGTGGTCAATCCAAAAGGCCCACGGAAAGCCCTCAAAGGCTATTCGAAAACTTAGACTCACTCAAATTACCTTTTTTTGTTGTTCTTTCTTTTCTCCCCTAAGTGACACTGTTTGAGCCACTACTAAAACAAACAAACACACACCAACAACACAACAAAAAAACAAGCATAAGCCATCCCTGACTCCTCAGCAATATTAGAAGCTTCTAGCAGTTTTCAACAGGTAGTCCTTTCACCTCTTCTAACTTCACCTTTATAACATCCCACCCAAAGAGCCAGTGTTAGATCAGCTGAAATGGAGGCACTTCTTGCTGGCAAAGGGGGCTTGTGGGGGACACCAAGAGACTAAGAGAAAGGATCTCGGGTAAGAGAAGGTGTGGATGATTCTAACTCCTCTCAGAATGCTTTCTGGGACTCTGGAGAGCATTCCTCCCAGGGCCTCACCACTCTTACGCCCCAGGTGAGAAGCCTGGGAAGGCTGCTACATCAAGGCCAGCCTCGCCCCCCACCACATCTGTGAGCAAAGTTAGGGCCACCTGCAGCTCCCATTCACCTGCGAAGTCCCCTAACCCAGCTGCCTCCACCTCTCTGTATCACCCACCTCTCTGTGACTGGTGGGGATTCCAAGTCACAAGAGAAGGGAATTTCATGTGGACAGAGCACCGACATCCCCTACCTGTCCTCTCGCAAGATCGGGGCCCTCTGCTGAGAAAGCCTGACTATCAGCTAGAGAAACCTACCTGCCTTCATTCAGTTCCTAGCTGTCTCCTCTGAAAGGTCCTCAATTCCCTGCACTGCACTTTCTGGTCAGAAAAATTCACAAAACATTACTGATACATGGCGCTCCTCGGTTACTTTTCTAGTGTAAGAACGCCAGGAAGTGTTCCCTTTTCTGCTCTTGGTTCCTTCCCGTGGAACTTAAGAGAACAATGTTTTAAGTTCTCAGTCTCATGCAAGTGACTTAGAATTCACAGGACAAGGAACTTCGCAAAGATGATAACGCTGCTGAATATGGAATCAAGTGCTTACGGCAAAAAGGATTTGAAAAAAGACTTTTTCCTACTTAATTATAGGAAGCACCCCAGGTTGGATGAAGCAACTCACATACCAGAAACTTCCTGTGATAGGAGGCACTTCAATGAACTGTCAACTAGACAGATAAAATCTCAGCCTTCACCTAAACTCCAAGTCAATGTCCAGTGCGACAAGCAACCCAGCTTCTCCAGGATACCCCTGGGAGAGTACGCCGGGTGTCACGGGAGGCCAACGCTGACAGCAGCATGCTGCTGACTTTGTTCAAAGCCCTTTCCATTTGTTTTTACTTTCATTTTGTCATACGATCACTAGGAGGCTGGGAGGGATACAGATCAGTACTTCCATTTCACAGATGGAAAAACTGAGACCAAAACCATCATTCCCAAGGTCTTCATGGTATTATGGGTACAAGTGCACTCAGTCCTGGGCATTTTTTTTTTCCAGACCAAAAGAAGAAACTGGACACAGAGGAGCTAGGGAGAGGAGGTCAGACCATTCTCACCAAAACCGTCATTCCCAAGGTCTTCATGGTTATTATGGGTACAACTGCACTCAGTCCTGGGCATTTTTTTTTTTCCAGACCAAAAGAAGAAACTGGACACAGAGGAGCTAGGGAGAGGAGGTCAGACCCTTGTCTCTGACGGGGACAGGCACTGGCTCGGTATGCAGCTCAATGAGAAAGGACAGGGAGAGGTCCTGAGTCTGTGTTTGCCTTGGGGGGTGGGGATGGGGGAGTGGGGAGGGTGCAACCTTGCAAGGCGCCCACACCCCCAGTTCCTTAGAGTTGAACCAGGGGAGTGTTGTTTCTAACCACACTCTTTGTCCTTTACAATATCCTCAGTGCTAGAACCGTTAAAATCAGTTATGTACATTTGAAAGTCAGTCTCTGTGCCTGGAGGGGCCAGTCCCATACCTACAGGGGAAAAAGAATGGAACAGGATGGGCTGGCTCGATGTTCCCACCTTCGAGGAGTGAAGTGCACTGGAAGGTTTTTATTCCTTCCCTTTTTAAGTTTTCTTAAGAGGCTGGGGAGAGAATATTGGGTACCCCAAGGGAGATAAGTTTTCTTCCAGGGGGGGAGGGGAAAGTCACGCCCCCAGTCCAGCCACCTTCGCGAGCGTCCCTCCCTACCAGCCCACCCCAGCGTGCCACACGCGCCGGGTAAGTGAGCCCCCATCCGAGGTGGGCGGCGCGCAGGGGCCTAGGACCGGGCTTGCCGCCCCGGGGTGCGCCCACCCCCCCAGCCCCTGGCCCCCCAGCTCTCTCGGCCCCGCTCTCACTCACCCGCGCTTTCGCTTCGGGGGGCCAGGCC